GGAAAGCCTCCTTTTGAAATGCACCTAAAAGTTAATTGTAAATTTACCTGCAAGTGATCAGAATATAAACTGTGTTAAAATCCAGTGTGTGAAAGACAGTAAAATCCTGGCTTGGTTATACCTGTATGACTTTAACCAAGTCACTTAATTAATCTATAAATGAGGATAATAATCCCTCCTTTATCTGCTCTTACAGGACTGTTTCAAGGGATTTTTTTTTTTTTTTTTTTTTTTTTGCGTACAAGTTCTTTACTAAAGTATGAAATAGTTTATTAAATTATTATTTTATTGTACAAATGAATGTGAGCTATGGTTCCTGACTTCTTAGAGTTTATACATTAGATTTATGTAAAAAAAAAAAAAAAAAAAGGAGAAAGAACTTCACAAACAAATACCAAAATGTTTGCAAAGCTACTTAAAACAACTAAGTGCAAATTAGTTTTGGTGCATATCAAGTATGGGAGTCTAAAGTGAATAGCGGAGGTGAATCAGGGGTTAAGCTGAACTTCTAAAAACCACATGTTATGAATTATTCTATTCATTTTTTCCAGTTTTTATTATGAAAATGTTCACGTATACAACTAGAGTTTATGATAGTTAATATGTAGCCATTTACTTATATATGACTATGTATGTTTTTTCCTGAAACTTTTGAAAGTAAATTGCAAATATTTCATCCCTAAATACTCAGTATGCATCTCCTACCAAAAAGAATGTTTACCCACATGACCCCAATACCATTATCACATCTAAAAAAGGTAACAGTAATGTCCTGATAGCATCTAATAATCAGCTAATAGTCAGATTGATATCTAAATTATTCTCAATTGCCTCAAAAGCCTTCTTAGAGCTGTTTCAGCCCCCTCCCCCCAAATCAGGACCCACACATTACATTTACTCAAGTCTTTTTCAGTCTCTTTCATCTCTTCACTTTTTTTCCCCATGACAATAGGCCATTTCTTTTGAAGAATATTCTGGATTTGACGGGGTTTTTTCTCCCTCATAGTAATAGTTGTTCCCCTTTTTGAAGACAACAGGCCATTTCTCTGAAAGAATATTCTAGATTTGCATTTTTTTCTCATAGTAATATTTGTTCCCCTATCCCTGTATTTACTGAAAACTGGATTGTTAGGTCTAAAGACTTAATTATATTCAAGTACACATTTTAGATAAGATACTATATTGGTGATGTATACTTCATATTGCAATTCATTGAGAGGCACACAATGTCATGCCATTTCCATTCTTAATGGTATTAAGCTAAATAGTCTGGTTAGAGTAATTACCATTAGCTAAATTTATTGTAAAGATATATAGTTCGCTTTGCAATGATCAAAGGATGAAATTTGAGTATCTCAGAATAACTTGTCTTCCACTAGTTTCAGCATCCGTTAGTGATTATCCTGAACCATGTTATTTGGCATTGCAAAATGGTGAATATCTAATTTTGTCATCCCTTCTGCTGTCATTCTTCTATAAAGAAAAGCTTTCACTCATCAAATAGGCACGACCTACACTTCCTCCTAAAAAAGCAAGGTGCTTCTGACCCTTTCATTGCCAATTTTCAGAAAAAGAAATTGATGTAATAGTCACCTCCCACGGTAACAACTTAATTTTTTTTCATTTCTGTTTTAGAGGATTACTATGCACTGATTTTTAAAAAATCCATTCAGTATTTTGGTAAAAGAAATCAAAGCAGTTTGATTTCTACAAAGTATAAGTTTTAATAATTATTATTTTAAATTACTTTTTAAAATTTGGTAAGACTGAATGTGAAGTCTGAGTCCTAATGGATGGAATGGAGGATAATAGGGTTAATCAGAATAATTTTTTAAAACTATATTATTAAGCATCTCTAATCATTTTTTTTTAATTTATGAGATGTTCTTTTTAAAAAGTCTCTGAGTACCTTACCCAGAGTGTAACTGAAAACAAGAATGTCAAAAAGGCACATTTAAATTGTTCTCAAAATCAATCAAAAATAATGAGGTGCTAGGAAAAAGTTGTATCCTTGATAATTACATCTATCAGTATCAGAAAACAAAAGAGAACAATCAGGAAATGACAATCCCACTCCCAAGTAGCACATTTAAAAAGGCTAATGAAAAAAAAAGTCTCTTTAAAAATGTACTAAATTAGCATTTCAAGTAAATTGACAACTTAAGCGTTGATAAAGGCCAATCTGGGGCCCAAACAATGGAAGTTCTGTTTCTACTTTTATCTGCTTTTAAAAGAAATTATCTCACTTGACTTTTTTTGTTGTCTTTTATATAAATGTAAGTAATTGTCCTAAGGGAGGTGACAATCCTCATGTATTCTGCAAGGGTCAGATCATACCTGGAATATCAAGCTTCATTTGGGGTTCTATTTCTTAAAACATTGACCTGGAGATAGGTAACCAGGATGGGAGGTAATTCGTTTCTTACATTGTGCCCCTATGTTCAGTCTGAAAAGGGGCTAATGTAATTGTCATGTTAGACAATGGATTCAACCTCTTCTTTGTGTAGTACCAGAGCTTAGAGTTAGGGCCAATGGGTGAAAGTGGCAGAAAAAGCAGATTTGGATCTAGAATTAGGAAGAATTCTCTCATAATTTTAGCCATACAGAGGTGGAATAAATTTACCTCCAAGGGAATGAGTTCCCCAAGGCTGACACTGTTCAGAGGTTATAATCCCTTTACTTAAAGATGGTGTACAGGTGTGCAGGGATCTCTCCAATATTTTGCAAAGAATCTATAGTTATAATGAAAGATGCTTTAAAGGTCATTTAACATCACCGTTTTAAAAACTGAGGGTAAAAATGAATTTTATATCCTGCCTTTAAAAAGAAAACCCTTAACACATACCAATTTGCATATCATGGCTTTGTATTTGGGAAATGTGAAAAATATGGTGAAGTAGAGTTCAAGCTTCAGTATTTTAAAATCACGGTTCATTGTTTTTGATCACAGTAAATTCTTATCTAGCCGTAAATTTAGGAGCTTATAGATAAGAATATGGCTTTTTAAATAAAAATATATAACCTAGCATTTTAGACACTGTTTTATGAGTGGAGAGAATTAATGTTTGAATTATCAGTAGTGGCAAAAGCATTTTCATTCGATGATAAAAGAAAACTTACATGTGTCAGTTCATTTTGAAGACAGTAGTAAGTGCTGGCATTTTATTATTTTGGCTTTTCAAATGGTTTTATTCTTTATTATTAGACTAGGAAAAAAAAGCCCTAGTATATTCTGCCAACATATTCATCAGTCATCATTTTTGGAGACAGTTTTCGACATATTGCATGTTTTACTGTGCTAACAAGAGAAAAGACTAGCCATTAAGTTTATGTTTCTTTGTTTTTCAGCAAGGTCACATATCAGGAATAATGCTAGAAGTATGCTAATAAACAATATATAATGTAGGTCATCAGGGAGTAAGAAATATTTTCTAACTAGTTCTAAAGGGAAATATTGTTAAAAAAGGGATAGATGTTGTTTACGTAACACATGTTGCTCTATATGTCACCATCAAAAGCATCTTGTAAACAGCTCAGTGTAGTAAATCTTCCTTGGTGATTGTCAGGGTGTTTGAAGTCCGTGTTAGATTTAGATTCAGCACATAGTTCGCAATATGCCTAATGTACAAAGACCGTCAGATAATTTAGACAGCCTCCAGTGGAAATATGCCTATACTTGCATGGTTTACAAAGAATATTGTTCACTGTTGCAGAAGAAAATATTATGTTAAATTACAATAATTAGGAAAAAATTATATTAATGGCATTTAAATTTTAAATCTCAAATGAATTATGCTAAATGTTCGTGCTTAACTTTGATTTTGTTAAGTTCCAAAGAACTTCAGTTCCTTCAAATTGATTGTAATTTACAGGCTGGTATTTCGTTATTAATGTCACTTGTAAGACAATTTTATATGACTTCAAATGAAACGATAATTCTGTAAAAAATGCTTGTAAGAAAATGTCATTTATGTGATTTTACAAATGTAATTTTCTCATGTTTGGGAAATTTTAAAAATGGATTATTTTCATAATGGTTTATTTTGTCTTCCAACATGGTTTTTAATTACAAATATTAAGATTCATCAAAAAGGAAGTTATGTAAGTATGTGCTCTGGAAAACACAACTAATACTCTATTTATTGAGTTCATCTAATGGGTACTGGGACTCAGTAATAAAGATGTAAAATTATAATGGCTGCTTTATGATTCAGAAATCAGAGAGCCTACCAGCATTTAGAATCAAAAGAACGTATTTCTCTTCCCAGCTGTACGGCACCGTGATATCAGGCAAATCTTTCTATTTCTCTGGACCTCAGTTTCTTCATTTATGCTATAAGAATTGTAATAAAAATCTTGCTCTATCTACTTCACAGGACTGTTGTGTAAAATGATAAAATAGTGTTAGAATGTTCATTATGATATTATTTCTTTATATGGTGAAGTACATATTTAAATGCTAATACTTAGCAACTTCTAAAACATCATTTAAATTGTAGACTTTAGCTAAAAATTATATCTCTAAATATTTTAGCTGGAATCCGTGAATCTTAACTTATTAGCCATATTACTTATGGATATCTAGAAGCAACACCCTAGTTATATTGGTCGGAATGAAATTGTGCCTGATCTTCAAAGACACTGGATTCTGAAACTCTGTAGATTTTTTTTTAATACTCATGTTTTTTAAAACTGTATTTCTGTAATACTTCTGGTTTTAAAACCTTCTGTTTTTGAGTTTAGGGATCTTTAAAAATATATTATGCCATAATTATGTGCTTCTCTTTCTTCTAAATGTCTGCAAATGAAAATATGGTGTTGGGATCAAGCCATAAGGTGTAAGTAAGGAATTCGTGGAACTTGGGCCAAGTGGCCCTGTAGTTTAGTTTGTTTCTTAGCAACATAGGTAAGACCAGCATCTCAGAAAAAATGTTTTTTAAACAAAGAAATAATTAGGAGTCCATGTGTCTAAGTAACTCTGTTTATACTTGTTTTCTCAGAAGAAGACCTATCAATGCATCAAGTGTCAGATGGTTTTCTACAATGAATGGGATATTCAGGTTCATGTTGCAAATCACATGATTGGTGAGTGACACTCTAAACCTTATTACAGATAGATGTTTCTTCTACTTGTGTATATCACCATTAAACAGAGTTAAAGATGAATTAATTGTTCAACCATCAATGGTTTTCCTCGGCATGATTGATTTTTTTTTTAATTTCTGTTATTAGTCCTGATAAGGTATTAGCACATTTTATTTTCTGCAAGGGCTAGTTTAGACTTCTGCAGAGGATTATATATCTACTGCCAGTCAAAACACAGGTGATTAACAAATTAAACTTCTAATCATTTTTGCATTATTGAAAACTAACAGGAATGGTTAATGAACTGGATGTTAGCTTTCCGTAGAGTTTTAGACAGGTTTTAATTTCAGAAGTTATTATGGTAATGGCACTGCTGTGTGTTGCTTAAGCATCTTTGTATCAAAATCTGAAGTAGTGAGTTTTTGTGATAGGGAAACATAAATAATTCAAATAGCCGTAAAATAGTTTTATATGTATGGTTTCAACAGCCTGGAAATAATCATGATCATAAAGATCATGTAAAGAATTCAGTAATCATTTTTTATTCCCCACCAAATTTTCCATAGATTTTTATAAAAGCGGTTTGGGGAAAGATTTCTGAAGTTACTCCAGGCCATTGTTTTTAGGATTTTGCTTGTATCACATGGGCTAAAACTAAGAGGATATTTTTTTAACCTATTCATATTGTCCCATTATTTCTTAATTCCTCACGGATTAGTGCCTATGTCTTTTAATTTGATAAGCACTTAGTAATAACACTAAGCGTTTTACCAGCCAATTAAACTTTATCAAGCAGATCATTTTTCTGCTAGTAAAATGACAATTGCTATTACTTTATGCTATTTTTGTTATTCATTTGTGTTTTTTATACTATGAGTTTTTTATTTCATACTCACTTCATGGTATTTCATAATACCATAAATAATTATAATATTTAAAAAGTCAAATTAACCTCATACTCTCCTACGATGAAACTCTGTAAGACAGGAAAGAAAATTCAACATTTTAGACTATGAACTTGTTTTCAGGGAGGAACAAGTTTTATTGTATACTAATTAGAAGTATTCTAAGAATGCTTTGTGGAAGGTTGTTCACCTGTCATTTCTGATCATTAAAGCTATAACAAAACTTCCATTTTTCATATATAAATTAATGAAGATAAATTGAAAAGCATGTTGGAAAATTGATAATTTTTCAATAGGATGTGCTTTATGGTTTTCAAATGATAGGTAGGGGGTTGTTGCTTATAAATGACTAAGAGCTTATTTGTGCAAAATGGAACTTATACATAGCAGCTAAAATATTGATCAATTTATCTCTACATTTTCCAGATTTAAGTATTAATATTATTAGTGATTTCACATATATTAAATAGTGTATCCTTCAATGTGACAATAGCGTTGACAACTTTAGTGAGTGATTAGAAGATAATGGCAACATGTAGGAGAGATTCAGATGTTTCCTTGAAATTCCCTTCTGTTTGAGAATGTGAAAAATACCTTATGTACACTTTTAAAACAGCTTTTTAGAGGAGAGGAGTGGCTTAGAAAAAATGAATTCCTGCCAAATGATAAATGTTAATATTTCCCATCTCTTTATTTCTTGAGTAGACTGTGTTGGTGGCAGTCATTCATGATTCTACCTCATGCTGCACTTTTAGATAGGCTTGAATGAAAGCAGTTCTTAGCAGTTTGCAGTTCATGAGAAATTCAGTGAAGTTTTGTGGTCATGCTTCTTATTAGTTCTATTCAATGTAAACTTATTTTTGTTTCTGGATTCATTTGTCCCAGTACTCAGATGAATATGTTGAATATATTTTCACCACAATGTTAATACTCTTTTGCACATTTAGAATTTCTTTTGAATGTTCAGCATAACAGTACTTTTTGATTTTCCAATTTTAGTATCATTTTGCCTATAAACATTAATCAGTTTGTTTTGTCTTCTTTTTAAATTGCTTTGTATCATTCCTGTTTGTACTTATTTTATATTCCTTGCATCATTAGTGCTTTCCCAAGGCATTTTCCCTTCTACCTTATAGTGGATTAATAAGACACTCACCTCTTGGGACCTGAGCATTTAACAATTCACCTTTCATCAGAGAAGCACATTCCATTCCTTTGCACAGAGGGTCTAGTTATTTAATATTCATGCCATTTTTAATAATAAAAATATGTAATTCTCTTGCACTTGAGGCCTAAATAAATGAGTAGCATCCATTTAATTGTTTTATCTGTTGACCATGCATCCAAGTCCTTCCACCCTATTTGTGCTGTTAGGATCTAGAGAGAGAGAACTCAAAAATGAAGGGCGTCACAAAGGCTGATACCCCTTTTTAGAATTCTAATGTGCTATTTAGTCTTTCAAATGAGGCAGGCAGCATTTTGTTGGCTAAAATTCCTCCATTGAGGGTAGGTATTTTTAGGCTGTATATCTGTGTGTGTTTTTTGTCTAATCAAAAAATAATCTCAACTAGACATTCAGTAGAGGAAGGGGGATTAGAGACTATCTGAAAAGCCTCTTACTCCTTTTGTTAAGAGGGTATGTAGTGTTCTTGCGGATTTTGTTTTACATTTCAATCAATGTAGAGGAAGGATTATGTCACCTGATGGAAAACAAGACCTACAGATGACCCAATGAGGTGTCACTTTAAATTCCTTCTTTACTCAAGTCATTTGCACTTGCTTCTGTGGCACCTATGTTTTTGTGCAATCTCAGTGTCAGGCAACCGCCACGCATCTTTCTGGATGTGCTGGTCTCAGGCTGTTGGCCAGGGACATGTGTGAAAGGGAAACCATCAGTGTTTCCACCAGGTACATACCGGAGGTGCTCTTCTTAAGTGCGGTTTTGCAGCAAGGTGTGGACACATGGTCTGAGTTGCGAGAATAATTACTCGATAAAAATGCACTAGGGAATTGACTTATGTCTATTAAGGAAAAAAAGAAAACCTCCCTCTTCACCACATTTCGACACAGTTTCAGTAAGAAATCAGACCAGTGACTATTCAGGGGTTTCTTTTCTTCTTTACACACACAAAAAAAGAGCTACAAAACATTTTAACAGCTTTCCTGGGGAAAAGATTTCCCTCTTTAAAGATCTGTGCCAATAAGAAAATTTTTCCTCTCTTCCTTTGTTCTTTGCACATAGTTTATGTTGGCTTTTGACCTGAGAATACAACAAGATACCAGGATGTATTAGGTGCTTTAATTTCCTATTCACCCTTCTCTTTTCTATCAGCATAGTAAATATTTATTGTTATTTTCCTCTTTGAGCTGTCTGTTATTATTATTATTCTTTGGTATGGATTAGCGCAAATAGAGATGAAACAAGAGAATTTAAATGTGTTTAACCCAGCAAAGGGATTGCCTCATATAAAATTATGAGGCTCAACAGCGTAGAGTAAATTTGTAAGTGCTCTGAATAAAGGGCTGTTAGGCATGAGATAATATAAAGAGATGACATTGCCAAGAACTATTTATGAGAAGCTTAATTTTTTCACTCTGATAATTCTTGACCAATAATTACCAGCCTCTAATTATCTATTTTAGTTAGAAAGAAATTTCGATCACTATGGAGGTTGGCATTGCAACTAGCGCATAAATCCCCAAAGAGACAAATGTGTTCCAAACAGCCACAAACAACTGTCTCATGAAACATAGTGAGCAAATTGCAAGCGGCTGGTGGTAGACAACCAGCAGTACACTCACCATCGAAGGCCAGTCAGCTTGACAAAGGAATGATCAAAGGGGAGAAATACCATTATCCTTGGAATTGATTACTATAGTTGTGGACTTTGGAGGACAAGTAGTCAGTATATAGCTATGGCCATTTCCAGCCCTCCCTTTCAAAGTTCATGGATGGAGAAAATGAATGGACTAGGTACAAGCCTTTTACATAAGGATTATTTTTAATAATATACTTAGAAATGGTTACTTAATAAATTTTATTTTTTTTCATCTGATTAGAAAGACCAGTGTTGTAATGGCAAAATTGTTCTAAGTGTCAGAATACCCCATTTTGTTAAAGATAGGAAAATCCAGAAATGGTCGCTAATAAACATGTCCTAGATACGATCAAGTGTAATGTTAAAGCATTTTGAAGAAGCAAGTATATTTATCTCTTAGAAAAGCAGAGCTAGAACTTGGGATTGTAAAGGATAGCTAATAGGAAAACACTGATGCAAAGATACTGACTTTGTATTTATATCTCTAATAAACACTCAGTATTTTATAGATAATCACGATTTCCAAAACACCAGGAAAAGATTAAGCTCTTCTCCAGCATATGTGGGAAGATATGTACTCTATGTGTTGTGTTACACGTGATATGTATCACTGATGTCAAGGCATCAAGAATGAGTAAATCAGTTCTTAACAGTGTGGTGAAATTGTAGTCTGTTCTGTGGCAGGTGGCATTCATACATCCTGCAATTTGTTTGGTGCCCAAGGTCACAAATGGCATTGTTTTCCTTTCATTTCTTTAGTGGGTGGTGTACTATGAGACTAATCTTCATTATCATTTTGTGGCATTCAGTATCACCTCTGAAGCATTTCAGCTTGAGTGCACTTGCTTTAGAAAAGACTAAAACCAGTATTTTGAGGTCCATAGTAGTTTAGGATTTTATGTCCTAAGGGAAAATATCCAAATATATGGAAGAGAAAGGTCCACGTTGCCCCTTAAACTCTTACTTTCACTGACTGGTTTCAAAAGAATGAATAGAAATGGATCAACAATAATGCCTATATGTGTGGGTATACATATGTGTTTTTAATCTCCATGCTGTCCTAAGAAGCTCAAAATCATTGAGATATTTTGGACTCTTGATTTACATTCATTCTAAATGAGAAGATGACTGAACGCTTTTTTTAAAAAAATCATCTTTATTTGATTGCTTACAAAATTCAGAGAATTAAGAAACAAGCATTTGGTGTTAAATATGATAGAACACTGGCTTATTTCATCAAGAGCTGGATTAAAAAAGATGAAATCTGGGCAGTTTA